AAAAACAAATTTGTGCAGGGCCTAGAGTGGGATCAGAATGCTTAGAAGCTGCCAACTGTAGGCCTAGGCCCCCTCAGACTTAGCTGCGTAAGCCTGTAGGCCTAGCCTAGGCCTAGTTTATGCAAGTGCAAGTAGTACCAGTGCAAATATATAGGAATTTGGGTCAACCCCGATTTTACGAATACCCGAATTTACGAACGGCTCTGGGCCCATGCCGTACGTAAATGAGGGGTTCTACTGTAATTGCATAGTATAAAATGCTTACATCTAGGTCATGCCTTGAGAGAATCTCCTCACAGCGTGCCACATCCCCATTTGCAGCTGCTTTTACAAGTTCTTCATTCAAATCACCAGTTATATGAGTTTCAAACAATTTTTTCAAGAGTGCTGACAATCGTTCTGAAAAAAATAATTTAATAAAAAAATTCTAGCAATACACATTTGATGATATAACTAGCATAATAAACAAAGCTAACTCTACGCTAGGAATTATTAAATTCACACTCGTAACAAAAACAACAGACTCTGTCTTCTTATTACCATCTTGTATTCTTGCCAAGTTTGAAACCAATCAGACTTACCAAACATTAGTAATCATGGTAAATCGAGTAAATTACCTAATTAGGGAATATCAGTTATGCAAATAGCCTATTCATACACATACCAAATACAATAGGCTGTCTTCTTAATACTATCTTGCATTTTGCTAAGTTTGAAAAAAATCAGACTTACCAACCTTCAGTTATCTGATTAGTAAAATATTAATTACCAGTATGCAAATGAGCAATTATCATATTCACACACATAGCAAAAACAAGACTTCATCGCTTTATTACAATCTTGCATTGTGCAATGCAAGATCAGACAAACATTTTTTTTGTTTTTAATTAGAACCAGAAAATAATTATGTGGGAGTAATAGATACTAATTGTGATGGAATTGTAATTACCTGACGAGGATCCTAATCCAGTGTTATCTGAAGCAACTTTGGTAACAGCAGCTGGATTGTATGTCCAAGATGTTCCACAAACTTCTACTTTCAAGTCATTATCATGGTAAATTTGTTGAACGCGACCAATTTTTCCTAAAGTCTATAAAAATACCAAGTACTACATAACAATCAGGAATTTAAAAAAAAACCACATCTATATCAAGTTCAGATGTACTATGGCTGAGCGAAATATAATAAACAATATTGTTATTATTTAATAGTGATTGGTTTCAATTAGTGGATTTCAATTAGAAGTTTCTTTTCTAAGAAAGGATTGTGAACAATAGCCAGTTAACTGGATTGTCCCTGAAGCTCGCAGTAAACATGTCCTATGATGATTTCTTGGTGGAAACGTAATGGTTAACAGTAAAAATATAGAATTTTATATCAAATTATAGCAGATTGGATATAAAGTGTTTTTCACAAGTTGGTTTTGAAAGAACAGCTGTGTCATGGTTATATATTATAGCAAACTATAGGGTACTAACTCGCTACATCATGGTACCACGTGACAACATTAGGTTACTACTGGGCAAAAATCTACCAAGCATTTGTTACATTTAAACTCTAAAGCTAAGCCACAGTGTTCACAGCATTTTCAGCTGATATATGAGAACATAGTAATTTCTAATTAAAAAACTGAATAAACACACACACTCACCATGTCAGAATGATGAATTGTTAAAAAAGATACTGTATATATTATAAATTTAAGTGAGAAAGATACATTAGTTGAAAAGCTATGAAGACTGTAGGAGGCACTTTGACCTATTGACCTCTTGAGTAGCCTAGCTCAGAAACCAAGGGGTGTCACATGACATTATGGCATCAGTGACATAGTACCAAGACCTAGTACGAGCTGATGTGGCAGCAGAAAGCATTAAAATGCAAACACTTAATTCTCTTAGGGATTCACAGATAATTTTACATCATTATCATTATCTCCAAAACAATCATAACATCAAATTATTATGTGGTTTCATGGGAATTTGTAAGTTCAACGAATAGTATGCTACCAAAGAGTATAGAATTGCAAGTGGTCCAACCGCCTGATTTTGTATGCACACAATAAAACCTTTAAAAAAATACTACCACAAGATTGCGGGCACCCAATTTACGAATGCTTTTACGTTCTTTTGAAGGACACCCTCTAGTTTGTGGTATTACCTTTTTGAGGTACAATTGTGTTCCAATGAAACCCTCCTGCAGTTCAATACTCTTTGAAGCTACTCATTAACTTTGATTATCAATTAAATTAACTTGGATTATAACCTACTGTATATAGTCGATATAAAAAACAAAAAGCCATTTATATTACTGACCGGAAGCATAGCGTCTGCCCATTCACCATGTCCCCGTTGCAACACCTTGATTCGCTCTAAATCACTGCAGATTTGTACCAAATCAGACACTTGGAATGGGCTCGCAGTGGAAGCTTCTGCTCCACCACTTGCAACTCCTGCTGCTGATCCGTTTGTCTTTGTTAAAACTGCAGGATTGAATGTCCATCTGAATAATATAAACAACATGTCAATTTGAACTTTCGAGTGTTCATACAACAGCAGTCAAAACTAAACTTTTTAAATATCAAGGAAATAAAAACATGTATATGCTTTTCTATTGTATTTTATATATTATGACACTACCACATTGGAACAATAAACACTCAATGACATTACATTAGGTAAATTCTTGAATTAGCGCCGCTCTTGAAATAGTGCCGCTCTCAAAAAAGCTCTGCACCAAACATGATTTTTTTCGCCAAGTGCCGCTCTCTAATTGTTTTATAAAATTCATTATTTTTAATAAGGTACAACTATACAGCCTACATCCAGTTGACATTACCGTTGATTCATTTGTCCATCCACGAAACTGTTATAACTTGATTAATTTGCGAGTGTTGTATTCTAGCATAGAATTCTATAACTTGCTACAGTTAGGCAAATGAATTTGTGTAAATATTAAATTCTGTAGTTCTGTAGTCAATTTATTGTTATTATCATCATTTGTGTTATTTTTATTATTACTTTACCATACTCTACTCATTACTATAATTTTATTGTTTTTATGGATTTACTAGTGTTTTCAATAATTTGGATATCTGTCTAAAAAATTATCTTCACATATAGTTTATATATTCATTCAAAGTTGTACTGTTCGCCTGTTCGCCTAATTTTTGTTTGAGGGCTCTTTTTAAGTCAGCGACGCCAATGCTTCCCTGGTGAAATATTGTTGGAAAAAAAATGAAATAACATTAAATAAGGTTGCCTTGCCCTATTTATACTCGTTGAATTCACTACTTTGTTCACATTTGTTAAAATTGTAATTTAAGCTTATGGCTTCTTATAATTCCATGGTAGAAAATACATTGTATTTAATGCTTGCAGTACACCACAAAGATAATTCGGAAAAGAATTATTGGTTGTTGAGAATGTCTCGACGCTTCAATGGAAGTACAATGCTTACCTATTACCACTTGGGTATGAAACTACAATGTCATGGTCTTCATCAATTCCTACAACAGTGCCTGTCACACCAAGGGTCTGCAAGATGACAAATAGGAAAGTTTAGGAAGTTTAGCAATGATGGAATTTTGAGAAATCAATAAGATAAGATATGCAGTAAACAGAAGGAAATTTCATTTGGGTAAGCTAACTGGCTAGGGGGGGTCTGGGACAACCTAGAGGTCAAACACATGGTATGTGGTGATTTTGAAACCCTCAGAATTAAAGGTAAAGTTAGGGATTGACCCATAATTTGCAGTGCAGTCATAGTGCTGAATATTTTTTGGGCGTGGTTTGTGACTACCAAGCAGCTGTTTAGAGGCACTTAATAATAGCAATGTTTACATCATTCCACAATGACAGGGGCTGAAATGAACCATAACATTGGGGTATACCCCTACTCTTCCAAAAGATGCAATAGGTTTTTTAAAGTGTACACAAACGAGATATATACACTGGGTCTCGATTTATAGTCCTTATCCGAGAATACTTTATTCTACCAACCGAACCAGCGCCGATGTTAAGGCTGTAGTTGCAACCCTGCATTACCGCTTGGCCACTCGACCCGCCCAAAATTATCGGAGGCTTTTTTAAAAGTAAGGCATGAAAACATTTTGGTTAAAACATCTGTAGACTAACTCTAAATAATAAATCAGTATTAACAAAGTAGTGTTACAGTAGTAATATAATTGATTTCATTGAAATACAATTAATTGTTAGTTTCACGTCCAGAATTTGAACTTATTTTTTGGTGAGGGCAGTTACTATTTGCTATTTACATTGTATACACTAATGTTTAAAAGGCTGGTAAACAATAAAAATTGTTTTTTTTTTTAATAAAATAAGTAAAATGACTCTTTGTACTATTCTATACTATTGTAGGCTTTCACAACAATCAAACAATGATTGTTTTTTGGAAAATAGCAAATAGTAAAATTGTTCAAGAGGCTCTAAAATTTGACGAGGGTGGGGGATTCATTGTATTTGGACTTACCTCAAACATTCCATCTGTCCACCCACCATGACCATGCTGCAGTGACTGCACAATCTCAAGGTCAAGATCAACATTGACCTGGTCACTAATGAGGAATGCCCCTTGGTTACCATGTCCTCCAGGTCCATGCTCACCTGACAACCAAAATTGACAACAGTTTTGTCTTGCATTCATCAGCAATGTAAGCTTTTATAAAATTATGTCCATTATTATTATTATTATTATTATTATTATTATTATTATTATTATTATTATTGGATTGGATTTATTCAGTGTAAACACCAAGGATAGCCCACGAAAGTCTAGAAGAAGACTTATTTCCAGTGGGGTACTTCTGGAAATTATTATAATTATTAACTTTATTTTTACACGGAAGGCTTGTCTCACCCAGAGGGTGTTATTCTACAAGGCTGTGTTGTCATTAAAATTGGAAAATAACAGTATAAAAAATATTTACACATAATATCACAAAAAAGAACAAATTATATACAAATACGAGATACCAAAAATGAAGCATAAACCAAAAAGTTTACAAAAGTGTTTTAAATATTTTAATATTTGATGCATTTTTAACACGTTCATCCAGTGTGTTCCAAAGAATAGCACCACGGTAAGATAAACTTTTCTTATTTTATATTATAACTTGTAGAGTACGTACAAACAGTTGTTTGTCTGTTGCAGATAGAATTGAACACAGAATAAAAAAAACACAGCATTGTGTTGTACACCAGAGGCAGACTGTTGTAATTGGTCCAACCGATAATAATACAAAGATGAAAACTGAATGATTTTTAAGCAAGACTTACCCAAGCATGGAAGGTGATCTCGATAGAATATACCACCTTTAGCATCACTCACAACCTTTAGATCAGACTGAGTAATATGAGAAAGAGAACTGCATTAATATAATTGCTTATTTATAAAATAAATCTGTTGAAGTGTACCTAGAGATGCTGGCTATAGGAGTGTACCTATTGATCATTAGGAACACGTCAACTACCAAATGGATTTGACATTTTTACTAGGTTTTGAGAGTCTAAAGAAAGGGTGTGCATAAGAAATAATGGTCAGAGGGACACAGCAAACTTATTTTTTTAATAAACACTGGTGGCTGCATGCAAAATCAATATTTTTTGATTGAGACACTTCGTTCCCAATGTACCTTTATTAAACAACAGGGAGTTTTTAAGACAAGGATAGCAGGTTGGCCTCACAAATAATGTTTTTTTTGGCCACAACAGGACTGCCATGGAGCAGCATGTGGTTTTACCACTATACAAAAGAATCTTAATGTTGAGTTTTCAGACCTAAATTGACATGGCTCTACAGAGTAAGAGCTCATGAATAGACTCGATAAGACAAAGAAGCAGCATGGCCCACAGTCCACACTCGGCCCACAGTCCACACTCTGCCCACCTGTAGGCTAGGCTGTCGCCTAAAGCTAGACTTGACACACATCCCATAATATTTTTTCTCATCTTTGGACGGAATGAGCAAATAAATTTTGAGATAGATAAATACTTGTAAAATGCTGGTGAAATTAAATATGAAGGTACCTGGATGCCAAAAAGGAAAGTTCGAAAAACAATGATGTAATTTTTTATTTTGTATTTGGCTAAATGTTCAGATCAAAAATAATGTTTTCTACTAATCACAATAATTCACGTTTTTGGACCCACGAATGTGCACAAAACTTTGTCACTCCCATTGGCAAGTTATAGTACGCCTGGTTAAAAAATTTAAATAGCCTCCCTAATAAAACGGGCCTAATATATGAAAACTGTTACTAGGATGAGTGAGCCATAACATTGATGGACCAAGCCTATCATAGGGCTTGATGGTCCATATTTACAAGATTACATAAACACCATTTTCTAGTTGTCTTGTAGGATAGTAAATAGACCCAGGCTTCAAAAGTAGATAGCATTCCTCAACATAGCCTAGTCAAAATATCGCCCCACTCAATCCATCATTTCACAACACGAAATAATATATGTCCAATGTTAGCCAATCACCAGAATTCCAAAATCAGGCATCATACACTATGACATCACACATAAAGGAAAGTAAGTATATTAGAATAACCCATAATTCACAGCTTCATTGTGCTGAATTATGTATGGGCGTGGTCTGTGAACTACTACAGAAGCTGTAGAGAGGCGCTTAGTTTACATCATTTAACAAAGGACAGGGATGAAAATGAACGTGTGAAATGAACTGAGGATCGGGTAACTCACTACTCTCCTGAAACATGCAATGGGTTCTTTAAAGTGCAATGCACTATACACTAGACCTCCCATTTTAAAGTCCTTATTCAAGAAAACTTCTACAAACCGATCCCGGGACAAGGAGCGATTCGAACTAGCATCTTTAAAGTGCAATGCACTATACACTAGACCTCCCATTTTAAAGTCCTTATTCAAGAAAACTTCTACAAACCGATCCTGGGACGAGGAGCGATTCGAACTAGCGTCGATGTAGAAATAGAGTATGGTGGAGTATTTAATTTCACATAAATCATAGAGTAACCCAAATTGGGACCTGGAGCAAAGGCTAGTCTAAATCAAGCAAGTTATCTAATTAATAAAAGTAAAAAATAATATTATTAATATTATTAATATTTAAAAAAAACAAATTATAACAATCAAATTTAACCTTGTTCAAGACTTACCATGCCTTCATAACCAACTCGATAAAGGTTTTTTGCTCCATTGTCCCATAAAACATAAGCTGCACTACGGGGTCCAGTAGCACTCCAGTCTTGAATTTCAGTAACTTTTCCCCTTCGACCGTTGCCTCCATCTTGGTCTTCCCATTCCCAATCTACTCCACGCACAACCCTAGCACCAGCAAAGATCCCTCTTGCAACAATTTTTTTACTTTTCCTTCTAGGCTCCAACAGAACCCTAACCAAAAAGACAATTATAATGTAATAATCTACCACTATAAAGATGTGTAAAAGTATGGTGATTTATTTTAAAATAAATGTTGCACTGCATTCAATAGCACAGGTCATAAAGATCTTTACCCAGGCACAAAAGTTTACTGAAAGTTTGTAGTGTTGCTTCCTGGGTGTAATAAGTATTTAGTACATTTGTTAGGCTCTCTTTCTACAAAATCTTGCCAATATTTTGTTTCAACGTACTTACAAAAGATTTCCTTAATACTAGTCAGAAGTTTTCCTTTAAAAAATGACTGTAGTTCTATTAGCCCAATTATTCAATTTAAAAAAAAAAGTGAGCATTTTTGTCGAAGCCTTTAAAAAATATACTCTCATGATTTTTCTGAGGGTCTCAACTGATCAGCTCTGACTGGATGGATTACCACTCTTCCAAAGTATTGTTGAAATAAATAAATAAATAATAAATAAATTCATAGAGAATTAAGGAAAATATTTATGTAGTGTATACAGAAAATTCCCATTGAATCTAAAACAAGTATCTTTCAGTCCATTGGAACTCTTTTTTTTTAATACTTACTTTTCACTAGCAGGTGTGTTCATTCTATAAAACCGATGTCTAAGTGAATGCTTGTCACCATGGTAACAGGCTGAGCATAGGTCATAGTTAGGACACTCTGCACATTTCCATCTAATTCCATATATTGGTTGCATACGGCATGTATCACACATGCTTCCATCGTGCTTTATTCCTGGTACACAAAAAACAAAAGCAAGAAATTAGGGCTAAAAGTAGTTTTTTGTTTGCCCTCCACCACCACCCCTAAAATATGTAAAAAGAAAGGGTTTAAAGAGAGACACTCAGAGACTTAAATGATATTTTAGTCTAGTTCAATCACAACAGACAAATGCAGTATTTGAGCTTTTTCATTACACTTTACAATGTAACATTTACTTGCTACTTTATTGTATATAATTTAATAATGAAGACAATATACCTTCACTAACAAGGTTTAATCCTAATCAATGTTACTGTGATGTACGGGACCAGAGAAAGAAACTACCGTAGTTTTTTTTTTAACAAAAATTTGCATTCAAAATGCTCTGAAAGTAGCAATAATATTGTTTTACCATTAAATGCATAAATACTTTATTCATCTGACTAACATATAATTCAAATTTTTGTTCAAATCGACTTCACTGTTTTTGTGCAGTTACCGGAATTCAAAATTTCTTTACCGTGACGTACGGGACATTTTTTCCATAGGTAGAATATACCGACTTTCGCTATTTCTTATACTGTATTTAAAATAAAAATGATCTAATATTCTTCATGGAGAATACTGTATGATGTAAACCTAACGTTTTATACCATAAGGTTAATAACATTAGTGTAGAGGTGGGGATGGAGCAGGGGGACTCTTGCGAGTGTTTAACCTGCACAAGGTACAGTACAGTACACTAGTTTTCATATCACATGATGCTAATTGATAGAGTCTATTTATTACTGCAGTTTACTAAATGAAAATATTTAATTTCTAACTAACTTAGCTTATAGTTATACAGTAACTAAACTTTTAATGTAAATTTTATGATTTTGTGTACTTAACAGAACAATTCAATAATGGCAGATACTTTCTTCACAATTACAATATAAACAATTAAGTGGTCAGAAGACAAAAACCACAGAAAAAGAATGTTCTTTATAGATCGACATTAAAATGTAAACAAAACAAACTCAAGTTGCAAAAGGCATACCGTACTCGCGCAAATACAGTAAGTGGCCGGGCGCTTAAAATATTTTTTGCTCTTTTTGAGGGGCACTTATTCACAAAGGGTGCTTAATGTATTCCCTTATGAAAACAGAGTGAAAATTGAGGGGGCGCTTATGGAAATATATGAAAATTGAAGAGTTTCTTTTAGAAACTTGGAAAATCCAATGGGCAATATTTCAATGAAAAAAATTATACATCCGAAAACCGAAGACTACAAATGGTTCTGGTTCAGAAAAGATAATCGTCTAGACAGCATGGCTCGTGACAAGAATTCTGCTTGTTGGCCATCTTCCAATTGAGATTAGCAGCAGGATCATTGAAGGGCTTCTTGCAAACTCACATGAAAACGTGCTAAAGGTGCAAATTGTCAGGAAAAGAGAAAGAGAAGTAGACAAATGTAAGAAGAGGAAAGTTGGAAAGATACTGTCCAGAATAAAATATCTTTATTTTGAAATTGACATAAGAAGAAAATGTGAATCCACTCTACAGCTCAAATCATGCCAACCAGTGTCTCGGGATTAGTTAGATTATCTTTTGCTAAAAAAAAGAAAAAAAAAATCAATCACAAGGTATTGAACATTTTTAAAAATGAATAAACATCAAGGGGCGCTTATTCAAGAGGAGTGCTTATTCGCGCGAGTACGGAAAACCACTACCAATTGCCAACTTGAATTTCAATTTCTTGATGGGGTTTCCACAGTTTGTGGTTGTTGTATTTTTAGTGTCAACAAATGAAAGTCTAAACTATAATCAAGCAAATCTTAATCTAACATGGGACCAAGTTGACTTGGGGCTGAGTTGACTCGAATTCGGCTATCCTATTCTATCCTAAGCCTAGGCCCTAGGGCTTAGGCTAGGGCAGCCTAGGGTAAACCTAGCCTACAGTAGTAGGCCTAAGCCTATGTAGGGTAGGCTAGGTAGGTAGGCCTAACTGAGGCCTAGGATAGCCTACTACTAGGCTAGTCCTAGGCCTAATGGTGGCTATGTTATAGACAGTCTTGCGGGTCGGGTTTAAACTTACCTGTAGAAGCACTGTCAAGAACCCTTAGATCGTATGCTCCTGCGCAACGATAGTTAGCAGCAGTACCATTATCCCATACAACAACTACTTCTTCGGGTGACTCAAAGCTTCTCACTGTGCCAATGTGGCCTTCGCCGCCGTCTTGTTTTCCCCATTTCCAGTCAGGTCCTCGAACAACACGAGAGCCTACGCCTTCCACCATGTTAACATTTACTCTACCTGATGATCGTGAACCTTGTCGATTTTCCATGTTTGATGATAGGGTCAATTTTACAAACTTCAAAAATCATCAAATAACTAGGATATTGGAAGAGTTCATTTTACAGCGCACAATCAAAACACACAAGTACTATCAATCATAGATCCCTCTTGTTGGCCTAGCCTAGTCCTAGCTAATCGACCTCACTCAGCACTCGGCTGCTGGTTGCATTGTATTGAATATGAAACGCCCACAGTGCCTTCGGCAGCTTAACCTTCAAAATCACTTTATACTTCAAATAATATTTATCCAATAACCAACCCTTCATAAAGCAAACAACAATTAGAACATTCCCCAGTCAATACAATAAAGATCATAAAAGAAACAACTTGCCAATAAATGACCAGCATGAAAAATGAAAATGACAATGGAGTCATAGCTTATTAAAACTATAGTTAAAGACGTAGTGTTCAATATTATGCTTAGAATTTATTAATCTTGTATTATATGGCAATACTTGGGCCAAATGGGATTCACAAACTGATTATTTAAACAGATATAATTTTAACGCTAATGTACTAATTATTATTTGTTTGGCTTTTCAAGTCTCTCAAAAGATTGGAGGGTGACATTTAAACGATGTCATTTATACAGGAGTGCCGAAGGTTTTCTGGACACTTCTGCAAATATCTGGTCCCTCCCCACTCACACCCTCACAAAAGGCCGCCGTAACCACAGTGATAAAAATGAAGAATTAAATACAAAACCAAAATCAAAGGAATCAAGTTCAGAATTAAATATGAGACTTCAGCACAGACTTGGATAGTACGTAAGTCTCAGCATGTCGCCAGGTTCCAAAGCTTCGGAGCAGCAACAATATAAAAGAACGATCGCCATTTCAAGTTTTAAGGTGACCAATAAGACAATATGGAATGGTAGATGAAGATGAGGGAGGCCTCTAGGTCTGTTGGTGCAACGACAGTTTTCCGTTCGCCGTATGCTGATTGTTGCTGGCATTCTGAACGGATAGTCACATCATGGCCATAATAAAAACGATCCATGCGCGCAGGTCGTGGATGGCATTATTCATAAATAGCGTCGTCGGCTTAGGATCGTAGGGTGAAGTTAGGACCCGGCTGCATTATAAATTTTCTCACATACACGCATACAATTAAGGCAGAAATTACAGAGGGCGCTATTTAGGTCAGTTAGGTGAACTGATATGCATGTATGCATACCAGACCTCCACCTGGCGAAAGAGAGTTCAGTGGTGTATCGAGTAAGCTTTTTGTATGGGAAAAAATAACGCTCTTAAAACACAATGACTGTATTAGAGCTGAAATTGAATGATTTAAGACTCCTTAAAATATATAAAAAATATATATGATAGGCACGTTTACAGACATAAGATATATTGCTATTCCAGCTGAGCGTCAATGACATTAACGAGATGTTTGATGTGCTCAAAAGCAATTGAACTCTTTCTCCATTAACCATATTTCAAGATCATTCTTCCATTTTCCTAAAATCCAAAACTCTTTAATTTTAGACATGTTAAAGTTTAAGTTATCTATGTAGACAGTCAGATAATTGAGGCTTTGTTGTTTTTACCATGCCTACTTTTCATTCTTTATGGTTAAGGTTACAGGAGGTAGATATTACTTACCTACGTATTTTTATATTCATTTATTAATTAACGCAAGTACGTACCTACCTCAAGATGGCTGGAAATCATGGACGTCAATCGGTGGGGGACAAGGGGAACATCATATCGATTGTTCCTCCCCCAACTTTTCACCGATCAAAATTTAATTCTACATTTTAGACCAAAAAAATAATAAACCCTTTGGCCCACGGCCCATTTTTGACACAATGACCATGCGTAATATTAATCTGCAGTGTATAATATATACAAAAAAAATTTCTAGTAGGATCAGAGTTGACTAACTGGTACTTGGCGTGGTACTAGGTTTATTGCATTTATGGCTTAGGTGCCGCGGTTTACCTCCCTCCGTTTAGTCATGCTGGATCAGGGGTAGTAAACTCGGCGATCGTGGGTTCGATTCCCACTCGAGGCAAGTTTTTTTTTAAAATTTGATTATTTATTTTTATTTATTTATTTTTGCTGTAGTCCTACCCCCTGCTGCCGCGGGGCTAGGCTCCCTCGGATTGAACAGTAAAGTATGCCTAGGCGTTAGTTGTTATTACTGATAGGATTAGTTACATCTATAACGCTGGCTACCATCGCCAGTGCTACGCACTCCAGGTTTGCTATTCATTATCTACCATCAACTAAACTGCTTTAAAAAAAAATTGGTTCGTGTGGGAATCGAACACACAACCACCAGGTTTGCTATTCATTATCCACCATCAACTAAACTGCCTTAGAAGGAAAAAAGAAAAAAAAAAAAAAAAAAAAAAAAAAAAAAAAAAAAAAATGGTTTGTGTGAGAATCGAACCTCCAGGTTTGGTATTCATTAGCCACCATCAACTAAACTGCCTTAAAAAATGGTTCGTGTGGGAATCGAACACACAATCACCAGGCTTTGCTATTCATTATCCACCATCAACTAAACTGCCTTTAAAAAACATGATTGGTCTATTTTTTTCTAATTTGCATAATGAATTTTTCAAACATTTTTGTCTATTTAAAAAAAAGTGCGTAGATTATGGTAATGGTAACAATCAAAAATCGATTATAAATTTAATTCTACATTTTTAGACACAAAATAAACCCTCTTGGCCCACGGCCCATTTTTGAAACCATGACCAAGCTTAATATTAACCTGCAGTGTATATATACAACAGGGGCGGATCCAGAAATGTCCAAAAGGGGGGGCCGAAAGTTGGGCCGATTGAGACAACACTGTCGTAGGGGGTCTGGGGCATGCCCCCGCGAAATTTTTGTGTTCTAGACGCCCGAACATAACATTTGAGGC